AGTTTACTTACGAGTGCTTCATTTCTTTCGCCCAACTCAACATAAGTTCACAATGTCGTACCGTACCCACAACAACAACTAGAATTTGCTTTGCTTTTCCACTGTTTGGACAACAAACAAACGAAGAGTTAGCCGGAGAAGAACGACTCTAACCGTACTGTTACTTTTCCCGGTCACACGTGGCGCAAAATGAGTGCTTCCAGGTTCATAAAATGTGTCACAGTAGGTGACGGTGCCGTCGGCAAGACTTGCATGCTCATCTCCTACACAAGCAACACTTTCCCTACTGTAAGTAGAAAGAAAATAAAAAGCCGCCCTTTTTTTTTTTGTTTCTTAGGGTTTTTTGTTTTCTGTTTGGCTCCTGACAAAATGTGGGAAGGGGAAAGAAAGTTAACCCTTCTTGGTACTGAAGAAAGGACAAAGGAACGTTTTTGACTTGGATTGTCATGGGGTTTTTTTTTTTTCCTTTTTGTTTCCCCTATTTTCATGGCAACCAAACGAAAACTATGCTGGTTACTGGTGGTCAATGTGACTTTTTTCACAAAGATGCTTTATTTATTGGGGTTTTGTTTCTTTTTCTCTTTGGTTACACTTATCTTTGGAATCTTGAATTTGGTGTCGAATCTTATTCTGAATATTTGAATCATTCTGCATAAATTTTTTTAAACTGACCAATTTTTTTGGGGATTTTTGTTTCAAAAACTTGCAGAAATTTTATTACTTTTTCTAGTCTGTAACTTATCATTACTTGGTCTGTTTGTTTTTTTTAATGCATCATCTTAGGGAAAGGACGCTTACTTTTAAGATTAACACTGGAAAATATATCTCCCTCTACTCCCGTTTGCTGGTAGAAAGGGAGAAAAGAGAACAAATTGCTATAACTGAAACTATTGGTGGTAGAAATCTCCATTTCGAGATTTTTGATGATAGGTGCTTGCATGATAGTGAATCTTGGTTGATGGTCATGGGATTGAGTTTTTTTTTTTGTCCTTTTCATTGGCATAAAAAAAAAATAAAAAGCTTGGGCTAGAATTTATCTTCTTTTGGTAAACCTTACTCCATATAGAGTTTCTTGATGTGAATTTTGTAATCATCACTGTCTAGTTCTTGCTTCAATTTTACGATTATTTTAAGATAACTTTTGGAGAGGGTGATTAACCTTTTCCCTACACCCTCTGCAATTTTTTGGGAAACAGGATTATGTGCCAACTGTCTTTGACAACTTCAGTGCAAATGTGGTTGTGGATGGGAACACTGTTAATCTGGGATTGTGGGATACTGCCGGTATATTTCAGTTTAATAATTTTTCCTTATTCATGTCTTAGAATGTTTCCTGTGGTAGATTTGATTTTTTTTTTCCTTATCATGGAACAGGCCAGGAAGATTACAATAGATTAAGACCTTTGAGCTATCGTGGAGCAGATGTCTTCCTGCTGGCATTCTCTCTCATTAGCAAAGCCAGCTATGAAAATGTTGCTAAGAAAGTGAGATTATTACTATTATTTATAGAAAATTTTCACCACCTTTATCATGAGATACTTTCTGATTACATGATCTGCTAATAAATTCTTTGTTTCAAATTCTCAGTGGATTCCTGAATTGAGGCATTATGCACCTGGTGTTCCAATTATTCTTGTTGGGACTAAGCTTGGTTAGATTCTACTCCCATTTTTATTTTAAAATTTATCAATTATCTGTTCCTTTCAATCAGCTCTTGCTGCAATAGTTTTCATTTTTCTCATAGAAAATTCCTCTTAGACTGGCTTTGCCTGCTCATTCTTATGGGTAATAAATTGTGGTTAAGGCTAATAAACCCTGTTATATTTATTCTATTTACACCACCTTTTTCTTCTCATTTTCCTTGCCCCAGGAAAGAGAGGGGTGGGAGTGGAGTTCATTGCCCTTGAGTGAAGGGGAGAAGGTCCTGTTGGTGGGTGAAATAGTGTAGTGCCTTGAGATGACTAATGTTCATCCTTCTCTTGGCCATTTACTCTTGCCTCACATGATTAGTCTGTTAACCACCTAAAATCCTAAGTGGAGGTTTGTTCTCTATAGGGATGTTTCAATTGCAAGACTTTTCTTGATAAAACTACCCTTACCATTACAAACTATTGACTTTCTTTTCAGTTTTCTTTTTTGGGTTAAAAAAAGAACAATTAGAATTTTATTGGTTCAATTACGTCTATCCTTGCCCTTCCTCCATTCGGGATCTAAATAGTTGAGGTTTGTCTCTTCTTCTACATGAGTCATTAATTTGATTGGAGTTAGGCAAAAATTCCATGGTGGCGGAGACCTGAAACCAGTTCATTCTGACTTTGCCTTCACTTAGGATGCGTTCTAATGTATTCGAAAGAATGCTTTAACTGAAAAAGTTTGGGAAACTTATTCTAGGTTATTCCTGCAGAACTTAGAGATCCTGTTACAATTGGTTACATTTGTTATTTGCCAGTGAATTGTCTCTCCTAATGAGTCATCCAAAGTAATCTCTTTGGATATTAGAAGCTTGTGGAATAATTTTGAAATCTTCATCAGTAATCTAGATGCTCATATGTCCTCCCAGGCCCACTACCTCCCAGCTGGGGGACCAAGCTAAAGTGAAACTAAAGTTCCAAAAAGCTGTTCCTTTTGGGACAGCTATTTACTGGTTTTAAGGAAATCTTTGGGAATTATATGAAAGTTATTGATGTGAACTAATCCTTTGAGATGCTGAAGTAGAATAGGAAGCCAATAAAATGTTCATAATCTAAGAGGAAGCCATTTGAAGAAAATGGGAAAGAAAGAAAATAAAGCCCAAAATTACTAAACTTGGGCCTACCGTATGTTCTTTCATTAAAAATTCTGTTCTTAGGTTTACTTCATTATCGGGTCATCCCTCTATCTTGAGCTAGTTGAATAGTTAATTTCCCTATGGCATGAGTCCTTTAATCATGGAGGAGGGCAGTCCATTATAAGTTTCAAAAGAGAAAAAATGTCCCCTGTGGCAGAGGAATAACAAGGAAACCCATGCAGCAACTACTTCATAGAAGTTTAACTTTTCTAAAGCTGATGGATGCATTCCATTTCTAAACCTGTAACTTTCAATTCTTGTCCCAATGTTTCCTAATGTTCTTAACAAAAATTATGGGAAATATCTTCTGGAACATTTTCCAAATAGATATGGCATCAACAACTGCTACATTTATCTTTAAAGCTGTCAGTATATATTTATTAGCTGCTGCTAAATTTTCTCACTGCAGATCTTCGGGATGATAAGCAGTTCTTCATAGATCACCCTGGTGCAGTACCCATTACCACAGCTCAGGTACTCACATCTGCTTTTCATAGTAATAACATCTGATGAGTTATTCACGTTGTCTCATCATGCTGCTGTTTCTAGTTCATGACCAGTGTGTCATTTTAGTTGAGACTTTAGAGCGTAAAATCCTAATTTTGTTTTTCTAATCTTTTCTTCTTTTTATGCTGAAAGGGGGAGGAATTGAGAAAGCTAATTGGAGCACCTGTTTACATCGAATGTAGTTCAAAGACACAGCAGGTACATAAATATTTTTCATGTCAACATAAATCTTGGGGAAATTTATCTTGAGTTCTTGGTAGAGATTTTTGTTAATTACTTCTGGAAATACAGAATGTGAAAGCTGTCTTTGATGCTGCCATCAAAGTGGTTCTCCAGCCACCAAAACAGAAGAAGAAAAGGAAGAGAAAGGCACAAAAGGCCTGCTCCATACTGTGAGTATGGAAAGAAGAGTTATGGGTGCCAGGGTGGATGCCATGACCAATTAGCCGCTTAATCTGTTAGTCTCTCACCATAACTATTACTCCTCTCACCTGAGGAAATAGCTCCTTTTGGTCTGTAGTCTGAACTGACAGAACTAGGGAACTCTTATAAGCATCAAAATATGTGCTTTTTTCTCCTGGATTGTATTTGGAATTTGTATATTAATGGCCCTTTATGTCAAGCACGCTATCCCCGCAGTTTCTTTGAGCTTAGATATGCGTGATGTATTGACTAGAATGCGGTGAACCCCTCTGTAAGAACAACCAAATTGTTTCCTGTTGTATCTTGTGATGTAATCTGATCTAGTACATTTAAAGGAACTTCTAATATATATTTGTGGTTTTGAAGTTATTTACTAACTATTTTTAACTTACCTGAATGAATATTGTTTGTTCCCTTGCTTGATCTTGCCACTTCTGTGTTCCATTGTATGTAAGATTGTCAGGGGCATTGAATGACATGATCTGGAATAAGAGGAAGGGAGGGAAGAAAAGTGGGGGGAAAATGAGACCGAAAGACAGTGAGAATAAAAGAGAAAAGGCAGAATGTCATGTCCTTGGACCAATTCATTGGTCAGTCAATATTGCATCTATATTCTCTTGGAAGCCTTTTGTTGATCAAATTCTGTGGTGCCTCTTAGGCCTGTCTGCTTCATTGCTTTCTCAGATTCTCAACCGTAGAAATCATTGAGCTAAGAAACGAATCTTTTTCCTGTTGGGACGTGGATGGAGTCAAGTGGCCATATAGCAGCAGTTTTAAAGATACCCCGTGGATTTTTAGGCTCGGGTTCCATTGTTTGATATTTAAGCCATCCCCAGGAACTATAACCGTTGGTTTTCCTGTTGCTGTCATGAGGTGTTTATGCGAATAAGATCACTATCATCCATGATTAATTTTCCACTCAGGCTTCCTAAATTTATCTACGGAAAAGAGTAAATTCTGTGGAATATAATGGTTGACTGAGAAAGTTTAAACGAATTTTGAAACAAACATGTCTTATTGACCTTTCTGGTTACTAAGAAAGATGAATTCGAGGTGCATCTTCCAGCAATAACAGAATGTCAAATTGTAAACAGAAATATGTTTAATCAAGTGATAATTACTTTGTTTCAATGGGCGAAAAATATCAATGCTATGGCACAATATCTTCTAAGTTTTTCTCATTTTGTAAATTTCTTGATGCTGCACTTGCTAACTTTATCTCTGGAATTTATACTGTGCCCACTTTCATCAGTATGAAAAGAATCGGTGGACCTCTGTCCGTTACACACTCTCTTTTCCAACAACTGAAACTCCTCTGTTAAATACACTATCATCCCTTGGGAGGTCGTCCATAAAGTAGTTTTCCATCATTCACACATTTCATTCTTCCCCTACAGTCTGAATCCCCATTTTTGAAACATATAAACCTTCTTCTGGGTCTGAAATTTTCTCAATGGCGTCGAAAAGAATATTGAAGGAGCTCAAGGACTTGCAGAGAGATCCCCCAACTTCATGCAGTGCAGGTAGAGTGATCGAAGTCTCCCTGAGCCTAGCCATGACGGCTAATTCATTCTTGTTTTTAAGGGAACTGACTACTTATGCTGCACTTTAGGTCCTGTGGCTGAGGACATGTTCCACTGGCAAGCAACCATCATGGGTCCAAATGATAGTCCCTACGCTGGTGGTGTTTTCCTTGTGACTATCCATTTCCCACCTGATTATCCATTTAAACCCCCCAAGGTTTTAAAGCAAAGAAATCAAAACTCTCTTTCACATCAATTTTAATTTCCGCATCTGAGGCTAATCTCTAGCCTAACTAAATTCATTCTGTGTGCGCTATGAAAACATGTACATAGAATCAGGCTAATCTTACCAATGGAAAATCATTTTCAGGTTGCCTTCAGGACCAGGGTTTTCCATCCAAACATAAATAGCAATGGCAATATCTGCTTGGACATACTCAAAGAACAATGGAGTCCCGCCCTCACCATATCTAAGGTAGTGACTACTACCATATCTGAGGACTTCATACAAGGATCGATCCATCATAACAGAAGAATTATTGGTAAAATACTAGGGGGAAAAAAGGCAAAAAAACAACAATGAATCTTGAAAATCTGAAAATGAACTCATGCTATCTGATCTACCTGCAGGTTTTACTCTCCATATGTTCACTGCTAACGGACCCAAACCCTGATGATCCTCTTGTTCCCGAGATTGCTCATATGTGCAAAGCCGACAAATTCAAGTACGAATCCACAGCTCGGAGCTGGACCCAGAAGTATGCCATGGGCTGAACTAGGTGCCATCCCTGCACATCCTTCCTCTTTCGCCTGTTCTATATCTAGTATAGTTTTCCATCATTTTACTACTTTGCCGAAGGTAGCTTACTTAAATTTCATTATTCCAGGTACATTAACAAACCAAAAGAAGTTTATTAATAAAGAAAGTTCTGAGGCTGTAAGTTCTGATATAAGTGCCTCTTTGCTTGCGGTTCTCTTATCTGGCTCTGTGGTTGCAACTTCCAAGGTCTTGTTTACTAAGCTTAGCTTATTGAATAATTGAATGATTGAAAGAGATGGGATGAACTTATTTCAACTTTCTGCTCATTCAAAAAAGTGGGGTAAGGTGAAACTCCTGAGGCAAACCTCTTAAATGAATACATCAGTTATGTTTCTGCTTTGCCTAGAAAGACTGGCATGAAAAACCCGAATAAACTCACGTTGCCTTTGGTACAGGTTTAGTTATGTTGATTAACTTCCAATTATGCATAAACCTAATCAACAAAATCATTTTTCAACAGTTAATTCCCAGATTTTTTGTGATGTTTGCTGCCAAAATAACACATGCACATACTATCATGCTATGATCCTGCAAGCTATTAACCTAATCAACATGAAAGAAAGTGGTAGGTAATCATTCAAAACACGGCCCCCATTTACTGAACCTGGAGCTGTGAAGGATTTGTGCAGAAAAGAAATGTCATATCCGCCTCTTAATTTGACTCTTTCCAAACATCATTTTCAGAACGCTCTAATTGTTGACTTACTACGAATCTTAGGTAATGAACAACTGCCTGCCCTAACCCAGTTCTTTTTATCTCCACTTGCCTCCACGTTGTCTAGCTGCCACGAGTCAATTCCAATCCTATACTGATAATCCAGATCTTGATCAAGACAAGCATGTCGTTTTTTGAACTTGTTACACTATGAACCCAAGTTTTTGATGAATGTTTTCCATGTTCAGAACCATTTACTTCCTAAAGTAAAACTGTTGCACGTAGCAGATATAGGTCTATGAAGCAAAATTCATGGTCTTAATTACATCGTTGTGAAGCTTGTAGATGGGTCTGGGAATTAGACTTTGCAGCCATTTTTACAAGTCTAAGGACAAATTTACAAGGGTTGGGAGTTTCCCATCAATCAGAAACCAGTGAGAAGTATACCTCTGTTCTCTTGTTTGCATTATGATTGTTTCTTACTCTTTGAATGCAAACGACCACTCAATAGTATTACAGGCTTTTGTCTTTCCTTAATGAACTTTAACAACACCACCATGTTTGCCGTCCTTGTCAGTCTCAGAAAATGAGAACCATTTCCCTCCTAATTCTGGATACTTTTGCCTAATCAGGTACCTACCGTATCGTAGTAGTTGGTCCATCAAATTCAAATACATAAACCAAAAACTCATATCATATATATGGTAGATGCTATAATTGTACAAGAATGATTGGTTGAATCTCATTTCAATTCTATCAGCAACTTGTTGATTAAATTAATGCAAATTATGTTATACTTTACAGGAATGTGGGAACTACCAAATAGCATTCATATTAAACATCTATCTGGATATAATTCGGGTTAAGCAACATGTGATTGGTACAAAATTTATTAATTACCGTACTCAAAGAATATAAAATATAAAAAAGGTAAAAATATATTCATTATTGATTTCGGAAATTTGTTAATTTTTTTTAAATTTTACTTTAGATTTCAATCATAAGCACATTTAATAAACAAATAAAAATCTTCAATTTTTTTTTATAATTTTGTATTATAAGTTTTATATTATCAATCAAAAACTTTAAAATTCTAAATTTTAATATGAGAAATTTAATATATACTCATCGTATAATTATAAAAAAAAATCAAATGATGTTGAGAATTTTTGTTAACAAGGAAAAAGTAGTCGCATTTCCTTTGTTTTCCATATCATTCCTTTTGTTTCCTTCTTTACATCCACCATGGTCGGCCATGATTGTTCTCTTTATGCATTTAAGAATTACTGGCATGATTATTTTATGTAATCATATCAGAGATTCCATATAGCCCACCAGCTATTTCTTTGAGAACCATGGTCTTTGCTTTTGACCACCATGGCTGCAATAGCATTGCTGTAAAGGCACTTTCCATTCTGTTTCTTATCTCAAAAAAATGAGATCAAGCATTGAGAAAATACCACGGACGCTAGCAACATCAATCTTTCCTTCTCAATATGATTTGCATATAGTTAAAGATTTGCAAGAATATTTCTCCTCTAATTAATTATCATTAGTACTAATCCACACAAACTAACCCCAATTATCATTGATTTATGATTACTTTGTAAGAATAACTAATTGAATTAATAATCATTGATAATTAATTATAACTAGTGCTTTTTTGGTGGCTGCTTTGGTATTTTTTTTCTCGTATCCCAAGCATTGACTGGTGCATAAGAAGACTTCTCAAGCATTGACAATGTCACGTGGCATATTGCAGGGTTTTCGTCGGTGGATCTGCTGACGCAGAATACACGTGTGATTAGACATCTATTAATTAAGGTGGCAAATGCCAAATGGTATTTCTGTCCAATCATACTTTCTTTACGAAGTTTATAAAGTAAGTGAATGGGAATTTAGACCAAAAATGTGTTACGTGCAAAGTGGTCGGCACTACCCTTTCAAGTGTTGGTCATCTTTTGTTTTGCTCTTTCTTTCTTCGCATTTAATTAATTTTAATACTATTTATTACACCATTTAAAGTTTTGCAAGAAATTAAATTCTTTTGTAGTTTGAACATATACTTAGGTGTACCCAAAAACTAATTAAATGCTTCACTTAGGTTAGGTTTGCCACATGCTTAAAACAGTTTTATTTCTTGCTTTTCCATTATCAACTTAATTAATCAATTGATTAACTAGTTAGTTACGTCATTGTGTTACGACACATGGATTCGATTCGATTAAAATTCGACTTGTGACAATTGATTGAGCTCAAAGATGAGGACCTTTCGGCTCGAAAAAAGATTTGTCATGCCTTTCCTTTTTGTTGGGACCATGCATGCCAATTGCCAGGAAAATTAAGAATCAAGAAAACAGCAATAGAATTAGGGGAGACCATTTGCTTTTATGAGAGATTCATGGCAACTAGACTAGGGATTTACATGGCATGTTCCACGGTCAAGGAAATTTTGACAATGAACAAATTGACCCACCAAAAGAAAGAGTCATCTTCTTTTATTAATTATAATCACTTCGATTATACTATTGCTTCTCTTTTCTAGACAAGGAATGATTTCCATGGCGTACGGACTGGAAAAAAAAAGGGGTTGTGAACAGTTGAAAGCACTTGATAATTTGTTGTCATCGAGCAAGCCAAGTGATCATCAATTTTTGGCTAGAAGATGGAACCTGCTTGTAATTGTAAACATGGGAATCACGATTACATTGACAAAAAACAAAGCACCCTAGAAACTCCTCTTCACTACTTTGAATTGATTGACTTATTAAGGGAAAAAATTTGTCATCTCGGTCGATCATGGTGGCTCTAATGCAAATCCGCTAAGTACATTAGATTCAATCATCAAAATAGTAAAAAACTATACCTCCACTATTGTAAGTTATACCCAGAATCAATTGAAATTAATCAATTATAAGATTATGAATTTATAATATATAATTAACAAAAATTTTATTTACATGTTTTGTAATTTTAACTTTTTTTACATAACACTTTACGTTTTTTTCTTTCCCATTTACCTTCTCGTGGATAAATTTTATTTTAAAAAATGATTATACCATTAAATTCATTTAATAAAATTATCAAAATAGCAATTCAAAAGTTAATCTATTTATTAACATTTAAAGATATTTTTACAATTTTATTAAGAAAAATGAAAACATCAGACATTTCGTGGAAAAAAAAACTAAAATCGCAAGGGATATATAAAGAATCTAAATTTACTAAAAATTAGAATTTAAAGGGTGGGATTGAATAATTCTCTTGTAAAAGTTTAAAGACCTGGATAAATCTCTTGGGTTATTATTATTATAAATTTTATTGGTATTTCTGTGTGTGATTGTTGATATAGTCCCAACAGCTAACCTGTGACCACCTTTATTTTTAAGCTAGAAAATTATAGACTGGGGCCGTGAATGGGACCATTCTCAGACAGAATTCATTAGGAGAAAATAAATTGGACCATGTTTTTCATTTTATTGTGATTGATGTATGTATATCGCTAATATTGCTACATATACATATATTACCAAAAAATGATGCCATCATTGAAAATACATGAAAAATGAAAGAACTTGATTGATATTTTTTAATTTTTTTTGATAGTGACTAATGTTTTTAAATTGTGACTTAATCAAAACCTCTTTTTATGAAACAAATTTTCAGCTTATGATTTTCAAATTTAATAAAAAAATACATAAATTCTAATTATTTGATTAGCAAAGTAGACTATATCTCATAGTTCATTAATTTTTGTTCAAGATAATGTTAGGTCCTTCTAACGCTATTAAATGTTCTACCAATTTGAATAAGAATATGGCAAACTTATATCTCACCCCAAAAAAATTTAAATAAAATATTTCATAAGTTAATTAAGCAATCTAATCTTAGAGATTTTCCAAATCTTAATTTTGTATAACCATGTTTATTTGATGAAAAAATATTTTAGGAAATTAGTAGCTGAGAAGTCACTCGTGCTCACGCACATATAATTTAATTAAGAAATAGAATAATATTTTGTTTTTTGTAAAAAAATACAATAATATTGATAAAGGATTTTTTGGTCATTTATAAATGATTAAATTAGTCCTTTAAATCTTTAAAATAATGCAAATATCTTTCACTTTTTGATTTCATGAAACAAAGAACAAACTTTTTAATTAAACAAGAATTTTGCTTTAAGAAAATATTATTTATTTTCATCTAATAATAGACTAAAAACTTAAAAAATAAAATGGAAATTACCTTTGGCACCAGAAAGTAGAAAAGAACAACAGCCAACAGCCAAAGCGGAGTCCAAAGGGTAGTGCTTGTCAACCCGCGATAGCCGGTAAAAGTTTCGCTTGTGACACTTCAATGGTCCTTAAAACGACCTGACGCCATGGGTTTCGCGCGAAATTTGCCGGTTCTTTTAACGAACTTAAAATAAAATTAAAATTAAAATAATTCCCTATTTTTGCTCTCTTTTGATTCAACACTGAAATTCGTTGCCCACTCTTCGCGGGAATTCCTTCTTTCTTTCTTTCCCTTTTTAATGTCTTGCTTTGCCGACACTTTTATCTCAAGGATTCCCTCACTTATCACCCTTTTTTGTAATTTAAAATTACATTTAAAAAATAAATAAAAAATAAAAAAAAACAGTAGCTTGAATATCTTTATCATCACCCCAACTTTTGCTTTTAATTTTTAATTCTTCTTATAATTTCTTTTATTGATATTTATATATAAAGAGTATTGAAATTGGTTGCAGCAGGTGGAGTGGTGATGTTATATGGCGGCAATATAATTTTAAAAACATTTTGGATACAAAGAATGTATTGGTACATAATTTAGGTACAATTCAATTGTCTTCTTTTGTTTATCTTTACTCTTTGATTCAAAGATCTTGGTAGATTTTTGTCACCTATAAAGAATAGCTTATGGCTAACTCTATCACTTCCTATCTGGGTTTTTTTTTTTTTTTGGATTTTCAGATGGAAATGTGTTAATGGGTTATCATTTATGATCACAAAGTGTTGGCTTGTGAAGTACCTAGCGTTGTGGGGGTATTGTTATTCTTTGAGTGGCCATGGCGATGGTGGTTTCTTTTTTTATGCAGAGTTCCAAATGAAAATTTCAGAAGCTGGGAACGTTCTTAGAAGGGATGGATATGCAGAGACTCTGCAAATGCATTGGAAGATAGAAGAATACTTATATGCTTTGAATTTGAGGCAGTAACTGAGAAAAGAAGAGAAAGAAAATGCCTACTGAGAAGAAATATGTGTTGGTTGGGATTCGAATAGATAGCCAAAGTAGGGATTTGCTTAGCTGGGCTCTTGTAAAAGTTGCAGAACCTGGTGATTGTGTTGTTGCAGTTCATGTTTCCCGGAGTTCTGGTAAGGCCTTTCCATTACTTTCTACAGAATTTTTTATGTTGTACAAGGATTCCTGATAACAATTTCATGTTCTAATTTGAAATTTTCAATGAAGATCATGCTTTAAGAGAGAAGTTGTTGTTAGAAGGTTATTTAGAAGTATACCAAGGCTTGTGTTCTGTAAAGCAGGTGGGTTCATTATCAACAAACTCGGCATTTAGATATATATTCACTTCAAAGAATGAAAAGATGATTGATCATTACCAGATTTTTCACGTTTGGGTTTCAGGTTGATCTTAAAGGCCAGATTTTTAAAGGAAGTTCAACGCGAAAGGTTTTGATTAGAGAAGCAAGGAACTATGATGCTGTAGCTCTAGTTGTGGGTATAGGCAAGCATAGTGCTCTTGGGTAAGGAGCAGCTAAAGACTCAAATCTCTGTTGGCTGTTAAACTTTTTGTGATTCTTTTTCTGATTACTCTAAAAACAGATATCGTTTTCAGGGGTTGGACTTCCACGGCTAGATATTGTGCAAAGCGGTTGCCAACTACTACCAATGTTCTGGCCATCAGCAATGGGAAAATTATTTTCAGAAGGTCCAACAAAAATCAACTACCAGGTTTGATTTTTCCTGTCCTACGAATAAGAATGAGATGGATTCTAGTTTCTACTGCGGTCTTCAAAAGTAATAGATCTACTTTTGATTATGTCAGGTCTTACAGTTAAAGGTGATCCAAGACCAAGTCTTTATCTGATTGAAAACCCTGCTGCCAGGGAATGCCAATCAGAATATGGTGATTCTGAAGTAGGGTCTGAGATATCCAGTTTGGAACGGATCCAAAGCTCCAAAGATGAATCAAGAACCAGTAGTGAAGATTCAAAGAGTGAGATATTGAGTGTGATTTACGAAGGCAAGAAAATTTCTTCACGGTCAATTTCTCTTTTTGCGGGAGACGTTATGGACTATAAGCCCGGTTGGCCCCTCCTCCTGAGGGCTAGTTCAGCAACACCACAAGCAAAGCACGCCAGGAGTATGTCAGTAGTCAAATGGGTAATGAACTTACCAAGTCGTTCCCCGCATCATACTCCTCGATGCTCAACCATCAAAGAAAACCCATTCGACATTGAAAGTGGCAGTGAAGTTGAGATTAATAGGACCAATTCATCTATGCAATGTGAGTTGCAAAAATGCTTGGAGACAATCCTAAAAACAAATTCATCCGATTGTCAATGGTTCAGTTACAAAGATCTAAAAGCTTCGACTGCTCAGTTCTCCTCAGGTTCTTATCCCTAACGTTCCTTGCAACCACTGATGTGTTCTTTTTGCTTTTTATGCTTGTTTTCTTGCTAAAACTCTGTTTTACAGCAGAGAATCTAATTGGAAAAGGAGGGAGCAACCGTGTTTATAAAGGGATCCTTCCAGATGGCAAGGCAGTTGCTGTCAAGATTCTGAAGTCATCAAAAGAGGCATGCCAGGATTT